CCCCCCCCCCGCGGCGTGCCCCTGCTCACCACTGAAGCCGCCCCGGCAGGTGCACACGTAGCCGCTGGTCATGTCCTTACAGGTGCCGCCGTTGACACAAGGGTTGGACTCGCACTCGTTGTTGTTGACGTCGCAGTTCGTTCCGCTCCAGCCGGGGTCACAGTCACACTTGTACCTGGAAGGATCACACTGCGTGTCAGCACGGCCTGGGCACTGCCGAGCGGGGCTCCACACCTTCCTGGCTCTTCCACATGGTTTGACGGCAGGAAAGTGTCCGCCCGGATGCTCTTGAGTCCTTTAAGTCAGGAGTGGGCTGCCCACCTGGTCCAAGATGGCAGCACCATTACATATGACCGAGGACTAGGTCCAGTACAAGATAGCACAACAGGCACCATTAATACCAAGTCCAGTCAGAGGCCCACTCTCCACGTGTGCTGTGTGCCCCTGACAACGCACGGTGACCTGGGTGGACAGTCCACCCCACAAAGTAATGGCACCCCACTCGCGAGCACCGGAGGTATTCGCTGTGGCTGCCACTCAAGGTGTGATTGGGAGCCGGCTGCCCCGGGTGGGCCTCGGGGCCCAGCGCGTCCCCTCCCACTGCCACCGTCCCGTACCCATTGAGGCTGTCCCGGCAGGCCCCGTGGATGCAGGGGTTGCTGTTGCACTCGTTGACCTCGGACAGGCACGTGGGGTCGTGGTAGCCCTCGGGGCAGCGGCAGGTGAAGCCGGCGATGCCGTCCTCACAGGTGCCGCCGTTGTGGCAGGGGCTGCCTGCACACTCGTCGATGTTGATGTTGCACATGCTTCCTGGGGTGGGAAGGAGGGGATCTGAGGCCAAGCCCATCACCCGGGGCCCACTCTTCAGGGGCCGGGGTCTGTCTCCGCACCTGGGCCTCAGTTTCCCACCTGCTACTCCCAGGAACCTCGGAGGTTCTGCACACTGCCTTAAGTAGCAATGAGTCACGTGGCTGCCTCACCAGCCAGTGAGACCACCCCTCCCTTCCCAGGGGCCCTGCTCGAAAGCCGGTGTCAAGTAGCAGAGGTGGCTGGCTGCCTGGAAGCCTGGCCTCAAGAGTGTCCACCCAGCCCTCACAGCCTGCTGGGCGGACGTGTCTGACACGGCCGCAGCTGGCACGGACCAGACCAGGAGGCCCGTGGGGAGGGGTGCCAGCCTTCCTGTGGTCTCTGCCCTTAGCCCAGGTGAGCAGCTCAACGTGTGGTGGCACAGCTGGCCTTCGCCACCCCAGCACAGGGGTCATGGTTGGCCTACAAGTCCCCCTAGACCTCGATGAGAGGCGCTGGGGCTGACCTTGACCTCTGACTTGGCTGACCTTGGAGCCCTGGCCCCTGGGGGCACACACCTGTGTAGCCTGGCTCGCAAACACATTCATAGCCGTCGATCTTGTCCAGACACGTGCCCGCCTGGCAGGGGTTGCTCGCACAGTCGTCCAGGTTGATCTCACAGTTGGGTCCTGGGGAGGAGGTGGTGATGGGATGGTCAGCTTGGGGGCCTTTCCTCGTCCCCCCACCCCGCCAGCCGCGGCCGGGCACCTGTGGTCCCCTTGAGGCAGAAGCAGAGGTAGGCGTTGTCACGGTCCTGGCAGGTGCCCCCGTGGCGGCAAGGCTGGCTGTGGCACTCGTTGATGTTGGTCTCGCAGTGGTGGCCCGTGTAGCCGGGCTGGCAGAGGCAGGTGAAGGTGGAAACGCCATCCTTGCAGGAGCCGTAGTGACAGGGGTCAGGGTCGCACTCATCGATGTCCACTTCACAGTGGGTCCCGGTGTAGCCTGGCTCACAGGACAGGCACAAGAGGGCTTAGGACCACCCACTCCCTGGACGCTTGACTCTGCCCATCCTGGGAAGTGCTAGTTAGACCCTGGGACAGGCCCTGGGACTGGTTAGAGAAGGATGCGGGCATGGCACGCTCTGGGGCGGTCTCATCCCATCCCCGCCAGTGGCCAGAGGTGAATGGTGTTCTTGGCCCCGCCTGAGGCCTCCCGGCTCCTCCCTCCCGCCACCCAGCCCGCCCCCAGACACCGCCCTGCCCGCCCCCGTCCCGCCCCCGCACCTTCTGTGCACACGCAGGTGTAGGTGTTGGGCCCATCCAGGCACCTGGCTCCATTCCTGCAGGGCGTGCTGGCACACTCGTCCACGTCATACTGACACAGGTGGCCGCTGAAGCCTGTGGCCAGCAAGGGGACGGTCACAAGACAGCACCGCAGCCCCTCAGGCACTCCTTGGCGACATACCCCAAGTAACTGCCCAGCGGGATTTCCCAGAGGGGGCTCTGGCCCGGGCTCAGCAGACCCCGGGGCTTCTCCTGCCCATTCTGCCGCACCCCTCTGATCAAAGCCCTCGCTGGCTCTGCTGGCTCACTTGCTCACTCGGCAGTGCCGGCTGACTGCCTCTCCTCACTCAACAGAGGGCCCTTTTTTCCCAAACCTACGCTGGTTGCTATGGCTGCAGCCGCTCTGGGTTGTGAATGGGGGTCCCCCTGCTCTCCAGTGTCTGGGAGGCTGAGGCCTGGCCCTGCCCCCAGGGTAGGCGTGACCCCTCTCCAAGTGCTCCCCCCTTCCGCCCCCCAATCCTCCTTGGTCATCACAGACATGCAGGCCAGCTCTCCCACTGTATTCCAGCCTCGGGGGGAGGGGAGGGCAGGGCAGGCAGCCCCTCCCAGCCTGGACGCTCTTCTGCAGGCAGGCGGGACCGTGCCTGGTCAGCAAGGCAGGCTCCAGGCACTGGGCGCCCCATACCCAGCAAGGTGTGCTGGGCCTGCATTGCCCAGCCCGGCCTTGTCCTCTGGGGGAGGAGGCGGAGTGCTGGCTCTGGCGGGAGCCGGCCGGGCGCAGGCGGTGCCCGTGGACACCAGGACGGACCCTGGCGGAGGCCTCACCTGTGGGGCACTCGCACAGGAACTCGTTGATCTTGTCCAGGCAGCGGCCATCGTGCAGGCAGGGGCTGCTGGCACACTCATCTGTGTTCACCTCGCAGTACACACCCTCGTAACCTGTGCACAGGGTGGTCAGCCGCTCACGGTCTCCACTCCCACGCCCCCGCGGGGGGCCTGACAGAAACTCTCCCTGGGCAGCCCCGCAGCCTGCCAAGTTGCTCATCCATCCTCTCTGCAGCCCCCGCCTCAGCCACTCCCGGCTCTACCCCATTCTGTGTGCCCTGTGGGCCTGGCCTCAGTTTCCCCAGGTGTTCCACGGGGGCCATGGCTAGCTAGGGACAAAGGACCAGAAAGAGGTAACCTCCAGGGATTGCCTCTCTGAGCTGCGCAGACTCGACTCAGGTTTCTGACGAGCTGCTGGCAGCAGGGGCACCGGGCGGGTGGGCCTGGAGGACGCACCGGGCATGCAGATACACTGGAACTCCCCGATCTGGTCCAGGCAGGTGGCGTCATTCTGACACGGATTGGAGATGCACTCGTTCACGTCGATCTCGCAGCGGGGGCCCGTGTAGCCTTGCAGACACTGGCACTCGAAGGACCCCAGCGTGTTTAGGCACTTGCCCGCATGCTCACAGGGGTTGGCACCTGGTGGGGGCAGCACGGGTAAGGGGCTCCTCCAGCCTCAGACCACACTGGGCAGCCTGGCCTCTGTCGGGCTGCTGGTCCTCTGGGGCAAGTGCCCTGTTCCACCCGCCCGGCCCAGCCGCCCCCTGTGCCCTGCCCCCGACACCTACCCAGTGCACACTCATCCACATCCTGGCTGCAGGCCGGGCCTGTGTACCCCGGGGGACAGGTGCAAATGGCCTTGCCATTGACAGGGTTGGTGTCACAGTTGGAGCCCTTGTTGCAGGGGTTACTGATGCATGCGTCATTGAGGTGGCACAGCAGACCTGGGTAAGGCAGTAGTGGTCAGTGGGCACTACCCCTCCACGGGAACCACAGCTCACCTACAGCTGGGGCCATCCCCACCGACACACCCCAGAGAAGCCTCTGACCACGACCCTCCTGAGTGTCCCAGAACGCTCCGCATTCTGGGAGACAGGTGGCCAGCAGGCTCCAGAGCCGGCACCCTGCCCTCCTCCGTGGTCCTCTCGGGCTCACAGCCATGTCTGTGGGAGCCAGCAGACCAGCCGAGCCCACTCCGGACCGCAGCCGCTCACCCGTGCGCCCGTGGGGGCACTCGCAGTAGAAGGAGGCCACGCGGTCGTGGCAGGTGGCTCCGTGGAAGCAGGCCGCGCTGGCACAGTCGTCGATGTTCTCGCTGCAGTCTTCGCCGGTCCAGCCGTTGACACACACGCAGCTGTAGCTGCCGAGGGTGTTGTGGCAGGTCCCCCCATTCTGGCAGGCGTTGGGCATGAGCTGGCACTCGTCCACATCCTCCGTGCAGTACTGACCTGAGCGGGCAGAAGACCATCACCCGGGGCCGCCACACACGGGCTCCTCACCCCCAAACGCAGGAACGCCAGGCCCCCTCAGGGACGCTCTCTCGCATTCACTCCTCCACCCCAGCAGGTGAGCCATGCGCTCCTAGACGCCCGGACTGAAGTATGGCTCACAGCCGAGGGCCTGATGCAGCACGCGTGGCTGCTGACGTCGAAGAGCACCAGCTGAGGGTGCACTTACACTCAACCAGTGTGGGAGTGGGGGGTCCCCTGGGGCCTTCCCACCAGCGGTGTGTGTACAGTCCAGCCGGCTGCTGCCCCACTCAGGCCGAGTCCCCACACGCACCTGTCCACTCTGGGGGACAGCGGCAGTTATAGGTGTTCACGCCGTCCACACAGGCACCTCCGTTCTTGCAGTTGTTTCCCGGACAGTCATCTACATTCTCCTCACAGTTCTGACCAGCAAAGCCTGCAGGGCAGGGGAGCAACCAGCAGGGTCAGCCTCCACCTCTGGCTCTGGGCCTCCTGAGACAACGGGCCCTGTGCTGGCATCCAGCGTCTCCAGTTCCAGGCTGGGCCATGACAACCCTCTGGCGGAGACGCCGCCTCCCTGCGGCTTGTCCTGTGCCCCTGGCCCTTCCCAGCTCCCACAGCCAGACCTTGTCCAGTGCCCTCAGGGGACACACGCTTCTGCAGAGAGACACTGTGCAAAGGGCCAAGGGGACGGAGTAAAGGGCTCTAGGTTTGGCCACAAAACCCCTCCTAGCTAGGCACACTAGTGGCTCATGTTTGTAATCCTGGCTACTCAGGAGACTGAGATCTGAGAATCCAGGTTCAAAGCCAGCCCGCGTAGAAAAGTCTGTAAAACTGTATCTCCAAATAACTAATAAAAGACTGAAGTGAGGGTGTGGCTCAAGTGGCAGAGTGCCAACCTTCAGTGAAAAAGCTGAGCAAGAGTGGAAGACCTTGAGTTTAAAGCCCTGCACCAACATACACACACACACACACACACACACACAAAATGTCTCTGAACATCTCCTGATGGTGCCCACAATCATGGGCCCCTCCACGTTGCCCACAGTGGCTGGTCATGATCAAGCTTGGGGGCTGCCAAGCTAGGATCTGGGGCAGGGGACCCAGGGAGGCTTGCTTGGGCAAGACAGCATGACCCTTTCCCCTTGGGGTACAGGAGCAGGGTGGGGGTACCCACCTCTCCCCCACAGTCTAAGGAAGTCCAGCCCCTCCTGCCCTGGACAGCTCTGAGGTGTGATCCAGCAACTAGGCCAGAGCTCTGAGTTGTGATCCAGTAGCTAGGCCTGGACTCTGAGGTGTGATCCAGCAGCTGGGCCTGGGCTCTGAGGTGTGATCCAGCGGTTAGGCCTGGGCTCTGAGGTGTGATCCAGCGGTTAGGCCTGGGCTCTGAGTTGTGATCCAGCAGCTAGGCCAGAGCTCTGAGGTGTGATCCAGCAGCTAGGCCTGGGCTCTGAGGTATGGTCCAGCGGCTAGGCCTGGGCTCTGAGGTGTGGTCCAGCGGCTAGGCCCAGGTTCTGAGGTGTGATCCAGCGGCTAGGCCTGGGCTCTGAGGTATGATCCAGCAGCTAGGCCAGAGCTCTGAGGTGTGATCCAGCAGCTAGGCCTGGGCTCTGAGGTATGGTCCAGCGGCTAGGCCTGGGCTCTGAGGTGTGGTCCAGTGGCTAGGCCTGGACTCTGAGGTGTGATCCAGTGGCTAGGCCAGAGCTCTGAGGTGTGATCCAGTGGCTAGGCCCAGGTTCTGAGGTGTGATCCAGTGGCTAGGCCCAGGTTCTGAGGTGTGATCCAGTGGCTAGGCCCAGGTTCTGAGGTGTGATCCAGAGGCTAGGCCCAGGTTCTGAGGTGTGATCCAGAGGCTAGGCCCGGGTTCTGAGGTGTGATCCAGCAGGTAGGCCCGGGCTCTGAGGTGTGATCCAGCAGGTAGGCCCAGACTCTGAGGTGTGATCCAGCGGCTAGGCCTGGGCTCTGAGGTGTGATCCAGCAGCTAGGCCTGGGCTCTGAGGTGTGATGCAGAGGCTAGGCCAGAGCTCTGAGGTGTGATCCAGAGGCTAGGCCCAGACTCTGAGGTGTGGTCCAGCGGCTAGGCCCAGGCTCTGAGGTGTGATCCAGCGGCTAGGCCTGGGCTCTGAGGTGTGATCCAGCAGCTAGGCCTGGACTCTGAGGTGTGATCCAACGGCTAGCCCTGGGCTCTGAGGTGTGATCCAGCAGCTAGGCCCAGGTTCTGAGGTGTGATCCAGCAGCTAGGCCTGGACTCTGAGGTGTGATCCAGTGGCTAGGCCAGAGCTCTGAGGTGTGATCCAGT